ATGTATACAGATCAGTCTATATGGTGACCCCCCCAATGTATACAGATCATTGTATATACTGCCTCCCAATGTATACAGATCAGTCTATATACCGACCCCCCAATGTATACAGATCAGTGTATTTACGGGTCAGCGCATGCTGAAGCGCACAGTGCGCAGAAGTCGCCAACTGTCCGCAGAGTCAATAGCTACAGACCTCCAAACTCCATGCGGCCGTCAGATTGGCACAACAACAGTGCGTAGAGAGCTCAATGGAATGGGGGCCGAGCAGCTGCATCCAAGCCGCACATCACCAAGTGCAATGCAAAGCGTGGGATGCCGTGGTGTAACGCACGCCGCCACTGGACTCTGGAGTGACCAATCACGCTTCTCTGTCTGGCAATCCGATGGGCGTGTCTGGGGTTGGCGGTTGTGGGAGGAGTTTGGTTGTGTAGTCTCAGATCTATAGGAGGTCTCTCCTGTGTAGACTCAGATGTATCTCTCCTTATACTGCTGTATATCCATTGAGGTTCCTCTGCCATGACCAGCTCCCAGCTTTCCATAGCCCGGTGTACATAGGATAATGATGTCATTATGAGCGGCGTCTCTGTGTCATCACTGATTTACATAATGATGTTTGTATAGTATACAGAGTATACAGAGCCGGCTGGAGCTTTGCATGATGTCCTGTCACAGATAATGAGAACATTTATCATGTGGTCACTTCACAGACCTCGGCCTATTTCCAGAATCCACCGATGAATATTCAATGTGAAATCTCTATCTTTCATTTAAATCGGTCATTGTCTTTGAACCCCTTCAGACCCCTCCCTCCTACACTCTACACGGACCAGAGCAATCCTTACATTTGTGCTATGGTTCTTCTTGTACGATGTACCGGGTCTCACACCCCAATCTCTTCTGGGTTCTTGCACCTGAAGCGTACACAATGCCCACCCTCCGGTGATCTTGGATATCGCAGCGACCCGCATTGCATATACATATATACACAGTATATCAGATGATGATATATATTCTGTTGGTGATATTGTCTTGCAATGACTTCGGCCTCATTCACACACGAATCGGCCGGCACGTACAGCTCCGCGCGGGGCCGTACCAAGTAGCTGCTGGGAAGGACAGGTGCTGCGTGTGATTAGAACGCAGCCCCCACCCTTCTCTATGGGGCTACGCGGCCGTACGCCGCCCTACGCTCACCTCATTTGCAGGTCCATAGGGGTGCGGGTTTTCTAGTCGGGACGCATACAGGATCCATTCCGGCGGCGTATGGATACGATCACCCGCACCCCTACGGACCTGCAAATGAGGTGAGCGTAGGGCGGCGTACGGCCGCGTAGCCCCATAGAGAAGGGTGGGGGCTGCGTTCTAATCACACGCAGCACTTGTCCTTCCCGGCAGCTACTTGGTACGGCCCCGCACGCAGCACGGAGCTATACGTGCCGGCCGATTCGTGTGTGAATGAGGCCTTCATGTTTAAGCAAAAGGTAACAAAACTGATAAAATAACTTTTTTAAACAGTGTTAGTTAAAAAAAAAACTATTGTTACTGTAGATAAAAAGTTTACATTTCATTCTATACTTTGTCGCGTTTAAAAATGACACAAATTGGGATTCTGATTAAAAGCATTTAAAAAAAAAACTATCTACATGTGAAATAAACACTTTTTATTCATTTTGCAACACAAAAAAAGATAACAAACACAATGAAACAAAATGAAAATGTTTAAATTTTAACGGCAAGAAAAGTAGAAAAAATATGCAGGACAATAATAGTTCAGAGGTGGGGGTCACAATATTTATTTTTATGCCATTCAGTTTAGTAGACTGTACAATCATGTTGTAATGTGTGCTTTGCTCCGTGACCAGTCTACACCATGTATCTGTTAAATTTAGAATGAGCGGTACAGCAAAGAAAATATATTTTGTAAAAAACAAAGAACATTAAGTAAAATGAGATTGCAAAGTATAAGGTCGGTTTAGAGTAAATTATAAGTTAATACGGGGTTAAATGAGCATTAATTCTGTTTGAAATAAAACATTTCTTTGTTACTCGCTAGGTTACTTTAACTGATATACGGTGGTTATAGAATATACCCCCCGTCCCTCTTTAACCACTTGATGACCGGGGTGTTACACCCCCTTCCTGTCCCGGCCATGGTTCATTGCTCAGCGCTGCGGTACTTTGACTGACATTTATTCCGTCATGCAGCGCTGCACTGAAACTAATTTCATACCATTTTTTGGGGACACATAGAGCTTTCTTTAGGTGGTATGTAATCACCACTGCGGGGGTTTATTTTTTTTACTATATAACGAAAAAGTACCATAAATTTAGAAAAAAAACAGTTTTTCCTACGTTATGTTATAATACATTTATTATTACCCATATGTTTAGTAAAATAT